CCAAAAAGTGGAACAGGGACCCAAAAAGTGGAACAGGGACCCCGAAAGTGAAACAGGGACCCCAAAAGTGAAACAGGGACCCCGAAAGTGGAACAGGGACCCCAAAAATGGAACAGGGACCCCAAAAATGGAACAGGGACCCCAAAAATGGAACAGGGACCCCAAAAATGGAACAGGGACCCCAAAAGTGAAACAGGGACCCCAAAAGTGACATAGAGACCCCAAAAGTGAAACAGGGACCCCGAAAGTGGAACAGGGACCCCCAAAAGTGGAACAGGGACCCCAAAAGTGAAACAGGGACCCCAAAAAGTGAAACAGGGACCCCAAAAGTGGAACAGGGACCCCAAAAATGGAACAGGGACCCCAAAAGTGGAACAGGGACCCAAAAAGTGGAACAGGGACCCCGAAAGTGAAACAGGGACCCCAAAAGTGAAACAGGGACCCCGAAAGTGAAATAGGGACCCCAAGAATGGTACAGAGACCCCAAAAGTGAAACAGGGACCCCAAAAGTGGAACAGGGACCCCGAAAGTGAAACAGGGACCCCAAAAATGGAACAGGGACCCCAAACAAAGGTACAGAAACCCCAAAAGTGAAACAGGGACCCCAAAAGTGAAAGAGAGCCTGAAAGTGGAACAGGGATCCCCAAAAGTGACATGGAGACCCCAAAAGTGGAACAGGGACCCCAAAAGTGGAACAGGGACCCCAAAAGTGGAACAGGGACCCCGAAAGTGGAACAGGGACCCCAAAAGTGGAACAGAGACCCCAAACAAAGGTACAGAAACCCCAAAAGTGAATCAGAGACCCCCAAAAGTGGGCACAGACACCCCCAGAAGTGGTAAAGAGACCCCCAAAGTGGCACAGGGACCCCAAAAAAAGGTACAGAGACCCCAAAAGTGGCACAGGGACCCCAAAATTGGCACAGAGACCCCAAAAGTGGCCACAGACACCCCCTGGATGAGGGCAGAGACACCCCAAAAAATGGCGCAGGGACCCCAGAGGTGACCCAGGGACCCCAAAGCGGGGTCCAACCCCCCCAGACCCCCCAAAATCCGCACCGCTCGGTCTCCCGCAGCAGCTCCTCCTCCAGCCGCTGCCGCTCCTCCCGCGGCGGCCCCGAGGGACCCCCGGGCTGCCCCCACAGGTAGTGCCGGATGAAATGGAGCTGGGGGGCACGGGGGGTGAGGGGGACCCCCGAGACCCCCGGGGACACCCAGGGACACCCAGGGACACCCAGGGACCCCTGGGGACACCCAGGGACACCCAGGGACACCCAGAGACCCCCAGGGACACCCAGTGACACCCAGAGACACCCAGAGACACCCAGAGACCCCCAGAGACCCCCAGGGACACCCAGAGACACCCAGGGACCCCCGGGGACACCCAGGGACACCCAGGGACCCCCCAGCCCCGAGGGACCCCCGGGCTGCCCCCACAGGTAGTGCCGGATGAAATGGAGCTGGGGGGGCACGGGGGGTGAGGGGGACCCCCGAGACACCCAGAGACACCCAATGACACCCAGGGACACCCAGGGACACCCAGGGACCCCCCCAGATCCCACGGACCCCCGGGCTGCCCCCACAGGTAGTGCCGGATGAAATGGAGCTGGGGGGCACGGGGGGTGAGGGGGACCCCAGAGACCCCCGGGGACACCCAGGGACCCCTGGGGACACCCAGAGACCCCCAGAGACACCCAGGGACACCCAGGGACACCCAGGGACACCCCCAGATCCCAGGGACACCCAGGGACCCCCGGGCTGCCCCCACAGGTAGTGCCGGATGAAATGGAGCTGGGGGGCACCAGGGTGAGGGGGACCCCCGGGACCCCCAGAGACCCCCGGGAACCCCCACAGACCCCTCAGGGACCCCCCCCAGAGTCCCCAAGGAACCCCAAGGGACCCCCCAGGGACATCCACAGACCCCCAAGGAGCCCCCCAGGACCCCCCCAAGCCCCTCCAAGGAACCTCCCAGACCCCCAAGGGACCC